GTAATAATATTTTTGTATAATAATAAATAATATTTGTAATAGTAATATATTTACAATTAAATAAAATTAGTAAACAAAAATTAATATAAAAAAAAAGACAATAAAAAAACAAAAATAAAAAAATACAAAAAAAAAACATCATTATCTATAGGAGATAGGGTGCCAGTCATTAGCCTCCCCTTTATTTTTAGAAAGTTACCATTAAAAATTAAAATACAATAATAAAGAATTACGTTTGTAATAGGTTTGAGCCCATTAACTAGTATACGGTCTAAAGCCCAAAACAATGGCTATTGTTTTACTACTTTATTACCATTACTATCCTTATTGGGCCGGCCCAATATGATTTTGCCATTTACCCTCAATAAGCTCGTTGATGGATCGGGTTTAATAGAGTTGTTTGCGGATTAAGTTGGATGGATTGGTGGCTTTTTGAACAACTGTAGGTATAACGATATAATGTTGCAAGAAATCAAGTTATGTCGATAGGTGTACATGAAATCATATTTATATTAGAGGTTTCTCTTAATAGTTTCATTAAGAGTCAGTTTCCGAATCGTTAAAAGGTGAATTTTGTTTGACAAAAAAAAATTATGTCTCTTAATGATTCTAAAACTCTATTGAATGATTTTGTATCATGTGTCTCCCTTAAACATTCAACGTCCTAATTCCATTGTAAACAATTATCATATAATTATATTTCATTTTGCACTTGTCATAGGAGATTCTTAATTATTCTGACCACTTAATCATTCTGCACCAAATCATTCAACAACTACCAAACAGTCTTTTAGTTCACATTTGATAATATTGTTACTTTTGACGATTGATGAACCAAATCCAATACATTTTACGAACTAATATTTCTAATCTTTTGTATAAGAATACACAAAAAAACGTTCATTTAACAATACACATGTAATATATTTCCAAACGTCATTTCAACTAATATATACTGTGTGTTCATTTTTCAGACTTAGGAGGAATGTTTGAATTTTGAAACCAATGAATTTTTTTCTCTTTGTCAAATTTAGTACAGGTTATAAAAAACAAAAAACTACAGTAAGTCATCTAGGTGTCCACATGGCTTTACACAAAGTTGTAGATTGACTTTTTTTTACATGGTTATAATTTCCAAACAACTGCACGAAATTTCTTCGGACTTTATATGACTCGGCAAATTCAAATACAGATATAATTGAATGCTTATCTTAACATTCTGTAGCTTCCTCAAACATTAAAATACTATGTGTACTACGATTTAAATGTCTTAACAGAGTCATACATTCATCCAAAATAGAGATGAAATCATTCATTCAGTTGATATTATTATACCATTTAAAGTTCTTTTTCACGCATGTGTTTTAAGATGGTTCAGAAAAGTGAACTACAATACGATTTATCCGAACACTCTAAATTTATAGTGTTTGTGTGTGTGTGTGTATATATATATATATATATCTTATACGTATATTTATGTATTTTTGTTTCAACTTGAATGGGTGGAAAAAAAATGTTCAACGTCTCTCTATGTTTTTCGACGATGCCAACATTCCATCTTGTTAAAACTCGAGAACCATGTTTGAATACCCAAAAATTTTACCTGTAATTTGTTGAAACATATGAAATTTCAACAAGGTACATGAAACTTAGGACTTGAATTTTAAAATTCCATGTTACTGTTGTTTTATCCGTGATTTTTACTTGTTTGCCGCTATTTATGTCGTAAAACACCTGTTGTTTTCCAACAATGATAATATTTCATTTTTTATTTTATGTATGCAGATACCAAGAGTCAGCTTACTATCAATTAATAGCCTTATGGAATTAGCTTAACTGACAATATAGTTTGAACGTTTGAGAATTCTCCTTAAGGTCATCGGTTCGAGTCTTGCAAAGCCACTAAGAATTTTCATGGTTGTTGTCCAGTGCCCCATTAATACACAGCCCAAACACCTGCTTCGGTTAATATTAAAAATCTAAAAAATAAAATAAAGTAGATTATTATTTTCTAAAATTAAAAAAAGATTGTTTTCATCAAGGTTCTAAACAGCGTGAGATGTGGTGAGGCAGCAAGATCATGCCTCAAGCCTTAGAAGCCACGACGAGGTCATAACATGACTTATGACGACAAATCTATATATCATATATAATATATGTATATAGACATGTGTTTTATACTACTACTTACTGAATCAATGGTTATAAACAATTTAAATTACGAACAAGACATTAAAAAAGTAAATAAAATCGAACACAGTATAAGATACATGATGGATATTTCAAATAGTCTGTTTTAATATGAAAGAAGATAAGCATGAAAATGCATGTGAAAACCCAATTTCATATCAATTTTAGGTCAAAGGGAAGAAATATGAAAAATAAAAAGAAAATCCATGAAATCCTCGTTGGCTCATATAATAATAACATACGACCAATTCGAGTAGAGTTTCTTGAATCGCCATGAACATTCAATTACTGTCCAAAGGATTTAAAGATTCTTACAACAAACACCCAATTTTTTATTGCTATCAACTCAGATTAAAGACTGTTTTCTGATCAATTTCATCCCAATCCTTGTTTCTTTCAAGTGTCGTGCATGCATTTTGTGCATGATGCTTCCCCTTTCTCTCTCTCTACTTGTTGAGTTTCTTTATCTACAGTTCTTCCATCAATCGTGAAATTAGCTCCACCGCCGGTGCCCCGAGTTCCACCGCTTCACCGCCGGTACTCGATTACAGGTGGATTTCGGAACCTGTTTGCATTGTATTCGAATAAGTTTCGATGTGTGCATGGGTGCATTTTTGAATATGAATTTGAATCAGCTCCGATTTCGGTTTGGGGAAGTCTCAAACATCGATGGATTTGAACTTAAATTGTTGTTTTTGATCTATTTATTGTGAAGGAAACTCGTGATTTTTGTTTCGATTTTGTGATATTTGTTAGGGTTTTAATTTGGGGGTTTTTGCATGGATACAGATTAGAACAAGATCTGGTTACTTGGATTAAAGAGATTCGGTGGTCAAATGTCGTCGCCGGTGAAGATTTGCATGAACGGATTGTGCGGAGCGACGACGACTCCTCAATGGAAGAGGGGTTGGCCCATGAAAGCCGGCGGTTTTGCTACTCTCTGCTATCCCTGTGGGTATGATTTTCCTTATTCCCATTTTACCCGTAACTTTGATTCAGAAATTTACATAATTAGTAATAGGTACAGAGGCTGATTTCTTTTACAAAAGATCAGGTAGGAATTATATATATATATATATATATATATATATATATATTAGCGGGGTGTTTGGGATTGCTTATAAAAATAACTTATTGACTTATTCTGGTGTGAGCACCGGTAATAAGTAGTTTTGAGTGTTTGGATAAACAACTTATATCGGTGCCAAACCGGTAATAAGAGTTTTTGAAGAAGTTAAACTCCTCTGATTTATAATAAGTTGATAAGTGCTTTTGTAGAAAAACATAAGTCGTTTCAAATAAGCAATTTCAAACACCCATTAGAATCCCTAATTTAAAGAATTATACACTTTTCACAACATCAATCTTGGTCTTGCTACCAAATACTAAAAGGGTAAAAGGGTCATTGACCAGCGGTACCCGGGTTACTAGAAGATGTTACAACCTTATGGGTTCAAGTTTCACCGACAATGTCTGAGCTGTGCTATATATAAATACGTGGGTCGGTTAAAATAAGAAGACTAATTATAGTGAAAAGATTACCAGTGAAGGTTGAATCCTTTGAAAAAATGTATTTGAAAATGCATATGTTTAACCGACGTTATAGATTATTTACATGGATTCACACTTGCATTTTTTCAAGTTTAATCTTCCTTTCTTACCTTCTGACAATATTTAGCCATCTTATTTGAATCTCCCATTATAAATGTATTCTTTAAAAAAACCGGTGCTAAGAAACAAACCAAATGGACCTAGTGAATCCAGTACAAAACGCTGCAAGTTGCTCATATATGCAAGATTTATGTTTTTTTGATGCAAAAAGTAATGCAAAGAATGAGCGAATTGGGCAAAAACCGCCGAGCATGGTGGTTGTTTTTGCGTACAGATTTTCACAATTTGTGCAAAATCGCTTATATTTGCAGATTGTGGTCTCTGATTGTGGCATTTTTGCAAGTTTGATGATTGGTTTGTGGCAAAAAAAGAGAGACCGATTTCAAAATTTAACCACTGAAATATGTGCCCTTCAACAAATACTTTGGACCAAGACTACGGTCTTGTTGTTATTTATCTTCATATCTTCTTAATTTCTATCTGAAGGTTGATCTTTTCTTGGTTTTTCGTTGCTAACGGACCATCATTCTTCCAAAAATGGGAAAAAAGACCATAATTGACCAAAACATGCCGTACATGATGGTTATTTTTGCATTTACATGCTCACAATTTGTTAAAGTTTGTTCATATGCGCAAGCTATATGCCTTGCCTTTCTTTGTAAAAAATAAATCCGTAAGAAAGAAGGGAATTGGCCAAACGCAACGACTGTCTTTGCATCTACATTTTCATAATTTATCCTCAATTATTTATATTTTCAAACTATAACGTTCGTTTGGCATTCTTGTGATAATGACGATTAGCTTATGGCAAAAAGCTAAAAATCACTCCAAAACTACTTGAATCATCGCCCTTTGGATCAAGACTATGATCTTGTTCATATTTATCTTCTACCATTCACAATATTCTGCATAAAGGTTGACCCTTTCTTATCTTTTCTTGGTTGGTATGAATCTTTCTGGTACAAAGACACTTTTTGCGGCATAATATACAGCTTTTAATGCATGGGATACAATCGTGAAAAGGTATTACGGTTTACCATTTTTTCATTTCCCCCAAATGTAGGTTTGAGTGAAATTGCAAGAAGCATAAATTTACAAAATGTTCCATCTCGTTTTTTTCCTAGAAAACCATTCTTGTGCTATTAGTAAAAACCAAACCAAACCAAACGAATCCAGTAAATACCACACAGAGTGGGGTCTCCTGTGGAGCAGAGAGACTCTTTTCGTGAAGACCCCTGAAGTTTTTGTTAAAAGTTAGACTACAAAATGCAAGAAAGACAAAATTAAGCTACCATGCTATTACTCTATTCATCATGTATCTTGTTTTATTTACTTTTTTGTTTGTGAATTGTAATTTTGCTTTGATGTGGATTACAGAAGTACGTACGATAATCTAAACTACTGTGAGCGATTCCACCTAAACGAACCGGGTTGGAGAGAATGCAAATTCTGTGATAAGGTAATTCTCGACCCGACTATTCTTAAAATCTCCAAATACCGAGTTCCATTCTGCTCACCAAGTTTCATTGAGCTTGGTATTGCAGCCCGTTCATTGTGGATGTGTTGTTTCAAAATATCTTCATGAATGCCTTGATTTGGGAGGGATATCGTGTATAAAATGCGCAAGATCCAAGGCAATCCAACCCCTAAAGCAGGTAATATGTTGGTTAGCAAGTTAAAATGTCACTTTGCACTGTATGTCTTTAAGTCAATGGTCAACACTATAAGGTCCTTGCAGATGTTGCAAGGATAGGGGTACGGGGATACATGATACAAACTCATGTAAAAGAAACAAGTAAATGACAATTTTACCCTTAGTAATAGGAGTAGTGGATTTCTCTGTCTCACAGTTAATGATAGAAGTGGAAAGTAGACACTTACTTGTGAATGTGGACACATTTTTTGGACTGAGGGAGTAAATATGTAAGATAAATATACGGTAAAACCTTATTTGCAAGTGTGTGTAAGTCCTAAATTAAGCATCCACTTTTAGTCATAAAATGCAAGTTTGTTTCTTATTTAAGCCTTATTTTCTATTTTTGCAAATTTCATTTCTTTTATTGTTTTCTATTCCTTTTGTCATATAATACTTTGTGGGTATGCTTTGTTTTCTCCCACACTTTTGACAAGTCTTCACGGACTCAACCGCTCTACCACGCTTTGGATCCCCCTTACCCCACCTATGGGTGGAATATTATAGCATTCCTGGCCAACCGTACCCTGGCCTCCTAGTTTTAAAACACGTCCAATAGAGGAGGTATCCAGTCCCTTATAAGGCAACTTTTGTTACCCCCACAATGTGGGATCTCACGATCCACACCCCGTGGAGCCCGACGTCCTCGCTGGCACACCAGTTCGGTTCTCGGCTAATATACCATTTGTAACACCCCAAGCCCAAAGCAGCGGTCTGGCCCAATAACTTCAAATTCAACTTCCATCAATCCCGCTGCTTTGGGCTTGGGGTGTTACAAATAAACCGAGCTCGTTTGGTTTGGTTTTTATTGTCAAGAAACAAGAAAAATTTCCCCTTGCTTATCTTGATTCGTGTATCCTCTTGAATTTTTGGTCATTACTTCTAGTTCTAGGATATGGCAAAGCACCCAATTGGGGTCTTTTAGGAAAAAAGAACATTATAAGATTTGAATTACTAATCTTATCGATAGAAATTTGTGGAAATGTCAAGTCTTATGCTCGTTGTCTCAAATCTTTCAGTCGGTTGCTAACGAGATTCCAAACGGGTTCGCTCGGTTTTCTGGCAATTGGCATCCTTCCGTCTTTAGTAATCAAATGAACAATGGTACTAGCTTCGATAAAGGAAAGCTCGCTCAGTTAAACGAAGGGCTAGAAAAACATCAAAAAGCATCTTCGACTTCATCCATTGGTCGTCAATTCAAACAAGAGGAACCATCTTCCGGAGAATTTGGCATCGGTACCTCTTCTAATAAAGATGCTGGCTCAAGCTTTCGGAACCACCCATTACCTTTATCTTCAATCTTTCAAAACCAATTACCTTTAGTTACTGTACCCGATACTAACAAACCGAAATTAGGGTTTCAACAATCTTTCGGCCTCAATTTGGGCACTCCGAGTTCTTCTATAGTTCCTACTTCTAATGGCATTGCAATGCAAGAAAAAGTTCCTACATTTAAACAAGAGCAACGACCGCATCAGATGCTTTCGAAACCATCAAAATCCGGGGTTAGCGTGCGATCACAGACGATTAAAGGGATGGGTTCAGACAACAGAGTTGCTAGAGCACCTGCTGAAGGACGAGGCCGTAGTCAGTTGCTTCCAAGATACTGGCCGAAGATCACTGATCAAGAACTGTTACAAATATCTGGGGAGTATCCTTCTTTATGTCTGTTTTTATGCACATACATGCATTGGTTCTTTGGTTAAATGACCTCCTGACTTTTTTTTAATCCATGATCTTCTGATAGATTTGAGAATGCCACTGTTTAACAGAAGAATGTCACTTCGATACACAAGAATGCCTAGAAACCTGTTAGAATTTCATGGATTTAAAGAGCACTTGTCAGGAAGTCATTTTACCTAAATAACCCCGCACGAATGCACATACTTTTAAAAAGGGTTATTAGGAGATACGAAGGGCCTGTTTGTTAGCAACTTAATGGGCTTAATGAGACTGACAACTTATTCGGTTAGGTATACATGATTGTTTGGTAGTGGCTTAATAATATAAAAAGGACTTATTCAGTCATCTTTTAGAGGGGAACTTTATGCGGAAAACCGAGTTTTTTTTTTCAAACTCCCAATTAAAAGACATGTTCTCTCCATCTATGAAAAAAACTATCCCAAACAAAAACCTTCTCAATCTATACAGACAGATTAATCCACACAGACGGCTTTATGCATACAAGACTAGGAAAACCAACCAAACAACCTCTAAAGTTTTGATATATTTTTTAAATACACGTCCTTTTGACAAATCTAAGAACGTCTCTGCCTAACAGAAGAACGCCACTTTCATACATTCCATATACACGAGATTGCCTAGAAACATTTCAAAAGGTCATGTAATTAAAAAAACAATTATCAGAAAGGGTTATTTAGGAGACTAACCTTCTTATAGATTTTTCCAAATAATATGTCCTTTTGTCAGAAGGTCATGCATTTAATAAAAATATGTGAGAAGGTTATTCTCGTAAATAGCACCGTTTAGAAAATAAAAGTGTTCACCTTAAATGTGTCTTCTAGCTTAAACGCCAACTGCACCATTACTCCGTTATTCGAGAAGGTTCTGAGCGCAAGTGATGCTGGTCGAATCGGTCGCTTGGTCCTTCCTAAAGCATGTGCTGAAGTATGTTTACTTTCTTTTTCTTCTTCTTCGCCTTATTTCTATCTCCAAATTCTTGATAAAATCAAATTATTGATGCAGGCATATTTTCCGCCTATTAATCAATCTGAAGGTTTACCAATAAAAATCCGCGATATAAAAGGGAAAGAATGGACATTTCAATTCAGATTTTGGCCCAATAATAACAGCCGAATGTATGTTCTCGAAGGCGTTACCCCATGCATACAAAATATGCAATTGCAAGCTGGGGACACAGGTATTCTTTTGTGGTTTTATTGTAACTTTATCACATTTAATTCGTACGTAATTCGTTGATGAAGCTTGCCTTGTACTTCAATCTATTGCTTCCTGTTTTCTTTTTCTTTTTTTTTTCTTTTTTATTTAATTTTTTTGCAGTGATATTTAGTCGGTTAGATCCAGAAGACAAACTTGTAATAGGATGTCGAAAGGCAATAATTCCCGCCGGAGCATCTGCTCTTCCTAATGCTGTTAATGGTGCAGTGTGTACAGGGAATGGAAACTCGCCGATAGTAAGTGCTTGCATTTGTCGTCCTTGTTTATTCTTCAAGTATGTAAATCCGTCCCAAAATAAGCCTCCACAATGAAAAAGGCATATTACACTTTTTAATTAACTAAATGACAATTTTGCCCTTGATAATATAGGGAGTAATGAAATTCTCCATATCATAATTAAAGGTAAAACTGGAAACTAAGCACCCATTTTTGAAGTATTATATTCTTGAAGTATATAATACTCCCTCCGTCCTAAAATAAGCGTTCACAATGAAAAAGGTATATTACACTTTTTAATTCAATAAATGACGATTTTACCGTTAATAATAAAGGGAGTAATGAATTTCTCCATATCATAATTAAGGGTAGAATCGGAAACTAGGCACTCCTTTTTGAACTATTATATTCTAGAAGTATATAATACTTCCTCTGTCCCAAAATAAGCGTCCACAATGAAAAAGGCATGTTATACTTTTTAGTTAACTAAATGACAATTTTACCCTTGATAATAGAGGGAGTAATTAATTTCTTCATATCATTATTAAGGGTAGAATTGGAAACTCACACACACTCCTCACCTTTGGTGTGTGATGAACCCTTGACCTCTAGGGAGGTTGGGCTTGGGCTCTACCGGTAATCCAAATACTGCTAAGCCAATGACTTTGGTATTTGTCTTCCATTGGATTATGTTTCCCTTTATGATTCTTTTTATTATTGTTCATTTGAATTCACATTTGCTGATTAGAGTTGACTTTTGTTTGGTCAAAGAATACGGAGCGTGAAGGCATGACTAACTGGGATCCGGTTACTCGGCCGGCGATTCAAGAGAAAAAAAAGGCACGTACTATAGGGTTGAAAAGCAAGAGGCTGCACATGCATAGTGAAGATGCCATGGAGCTTAAGTTTACATGGGAAGAAGCACAAGATTTCCTTCGGCCGCCTCCTGCTAAGCCAACTGTTGTCGTGATCGAGAATTTCGAATTGGAAGAATACGATGTAAGCATTTAAAAATTGAAGGTTTCAGGTCTTTTTGCAAACACTTTCTCGTACCATTTGGGATAGACGACAAGTCTACATACATCCCACCTCCTGGATCCTAATTCCCGAGTGGGACATATTGGGTGTGTTTGGTTTGATCTAGTTTAGCCATATTATGTTTTGCTTTGTCTTCTGGGTTAACGGTGTGTGGTTTTGTTCAGGAACCACCGGTTTTTGGCAAGCGGACCATATTCACAATGACTGCATCCAGGTTAGGATCTCTTAAATGTGGTCACCCAAATGGGTCGTTAAGGCGTAAACTTTAGATGGGGGAATAGGCAAACGTCTGCCTACATCCTGCCCCCAGAACTCTACCTCTGTGTGGGATATATTTGGTTTCTTTTGTTTGTAAGCACACTAACTTATCCCCGGAGGGTGTGTTATTGTGAATACGCTTTGTGGGTCCCACCTTGTACGTTTTCTATGAGACGGTTCAATTTTTTTTTAAATCAAATCTTTTTTGACGTTGCGTTGTTCTTCAGGTTGCAAGAACAATGGGTTCAGTGTGATAGTTGCTCCAAATGGCGGAAGTTACCTTCGGATGTTCTTATTCCTTCTAAATGGACGTGCTCTCATAATGTTTCAGATCCAGACAGGTAGTTTTTGTAACATCCCAGGCTAATTGTACAAGATGTTCTCCGCTTTGTCCACACCTGGACTCACGGTTTTAAAACACGTCTGATAGACAGTCTTTTATAAAGCAGCCTTAGTTCCCCTCCTCAATTGATGTGGGATCTTACAATCCACTCTCCTTGGGAGCCCAACATCATTGCTGGCTCACAAGTCCGGTTCCCGGCTCTGCTCTGATACCATCTGTAACATCCCGGGATAACTGTACTAGATAGAGGAGGTATCTAGTCCCTTATAAAGCAACCTTAGTTCCCCTCCCCAACCGATGTGGGATCCTACACTTATTTTGTCAATTTTATGTTGTCCGGTCTCATTTCCATGTTATGAGGATAATATAAGTGATCACTGTTAGCCTAACGGGTATGGAGGAGGACATCCATTCAGAATGAATAAGAGATCTGGGGTTCGGTTCGACTCCAAGCACCACCCTTTACCCCTGGGAGACACGATTTACCTTTCCATGATGGTTGTAGGACCAGTATGGTTTTTGGGGGGGGGGGGGGGGTGCTCCAGAAGGTGGCACCATTCCCTTTTTACGCAAGGATAAATATGGGGGATAAACAATTGAACTCTAGCCCGTTACTAAATGGCAAATTCGGGGATGAATTGCGATTGTTAATTTCTAACAATGGATGATTTCGTGCATATGTTGCAGGTGTTCGTGTTCAGCTCCCGAGGAGAAAGAAGTTGGAGATTTGGACCGCATCTTGAGATTGAGCAAGGGTATGAAACCGACCTTCCATTGCCATCATTGATGTTGAAATTGAGTATGATTCTATTTGGGTTCTAAGTTATTGTCCTGATGATTGTTCCTTTTTATTTGCAGAATCTAAGAAGCGAAAAATTACAGAAAATTGGGAAACCGAAGACCAACAACTAGAGCCTAGCGGCTTGGATGCGTTAGCCACGGCTGCAGTATTAGGAACGAATGGCGGTGAACTTGGCGAATCTTTAGTCGGTCCGACCACAAGACACCCCCGCCATCGGCCTGGTTGCACTTGCATCGTTTGTATTCAACCCCCGAGCGGAAAAGGAAAGCACAAACCGACCTGCATTTGCAACGTTTGTTCAACGGTTAGGCGTCGTTTCAAAACACTAATGCTACGCAAGAGGAAACGGTTATCAGAACCGGATGGCGAAACCGGTCAGAAATCACTGGTTCCGCTTATCAAAGGATCGGAATCGGTCGACGGGCTCGGAACCGGGGTCGGGATTGATGCGATGAGTGAAGGTAGCAACAAAGGTCAAGAATTGGATCTGAATTGTGACCCAAAGGAAGAAGAGATGTTGCTAGCTGAGGCTGCTAATGCTTCTAGTATCCCTTCACAATGGCACAACATGCTTGAAGGACCTGTACCCAATGGTACAAGTGACATCAAAGACGGGCCGATGCAGATAAACAACAAGGTCATTGAAGGTAGAGATGGCCAAGAAACGGTCCCGGTCCGGGCCCAAATCGGTCCCGCTCCTTGATTCCCTTTTTGTAACCGGGCCAAGACTGCCGGTCCATAACCAGTAATTTTGGCCATCTCTAGTTGAAGGTAGTTGATTCCGGACTACAACTAGGGATGGGTCCCAACCGGGCAAAATATGGTTTGGATCAAAAGGGCGGTCTTTTTGGCCATCTTTGGTTACAACCATTAATCGTTTTTCCTACCCTTAATTCCCGTTTTGCCCCCATAGTAGTCGTATATTTAGGGTTTCCATGAAGCGAGAAGGCATCGGTTTTCTTTTCTTTCTGGTGCTTTTATATTGTGCAAGATCAGCCATGTAATGCTTAATCGGATGGCGGAGGCCGGAGGTGGCCTTTGCTATTTCCGATACTATTTATATATAGAGTTTTCGTGTGTTTTATGTGCTCTAGCTTATGGTATGATTGCGGATGGTGGTTTTATGGTCGTAGATGATCGATTTTACGCTCATCTCGATCGAGTTGTGCGGAAGGCATGGTCCGACCTTGCGAAGCTTGGCCTTACCTAACGTAATAAAGAGTTGTCGATCCGAATCATGTATTGGAAATGTAAGAGTTTGATGCTATGTATGTTAGTGCCAAATTGGTAGAAAACGTGGTTTTGAAGATTAGGTAATGCAGTGACGGACCCAAAAAAATTCAAACGATGACACCATTTGACTATAAGAAAAAAAATATAGGAAATTTTTTTCAAATGGTAGCACCATTTGACTAAGAAAATAACACTAACAGAATTCGAACTTGGATCTGGGATGAAATAAAAGTCTTGCAAACCAACTCTACCAAATAAAATTTGTTCTCACTGTAATTTCAAAATATATATGGTGACATATAACAAATTAAGACAGTTACACCTTTTTACAAACGTAAATTTTTTTACTCTTCGATGGAGGAATAATACGATAGCATGTAGATCCGTCCCTGAGGTAATGAAAAGTGAGTGGTGTGATAGAATAAAACAAAGAGTAAACTACATATTTGGTCTCATGGTTTGTAGAAAATAATATATATATATATATATATATATATATTTATATTTTCTACAGTTTTGAAATTACAAGATGGTCATTATGGTTCGTAAAAACGTTTGAATTTGATTCTTCTAACGACATTGAAAGATTTCGTTAGAAAGAGGGGCATTTTCATCTCTTTATCGATTTTTCTCTTTTATCCAATCAAAATCAATTATATGATTATGGTCTCTACAAGTTTTGATTGGGTAAAGGACAAAAACTGATAAAAGAATGAAATTTATCATCATTTAACGAAATATTTTAACAACTGTTATAAGAAAGAATCAAATTTGAACATTTTTACAAACTATTTTTGAACTTTGTTATTTTCAACAAATTACATCCAAAATATCAACTGTATCTTTCATGTTGGTAGAGATTTGAATTGTTTTTGTGTCAAAAACTCTCATCAGATGCTTGGAGAAAGCATTTCAGTGGTAATCATAATCGTCCAAAATGATTCAAATCACTTAGGGCTCGTTTACTTGAACACTTATCCGGTAAACCCTTACCAGCAAAGTTCAACACTATCTCTTACTTATTGGGTAAGATTTTATTCACTAAAACGCATCGTATGCAACAATTTATCCCGGTAAGCGCTAACCATGATAAGAGTCATCGTCTCACTTACCGGGTAAAATTCTCGATTCTTGCCTTCGCTCTTACCGAGTAAGATTTTTAATCCCTGTTATATTCATCTGGTAAAGTAAAGTGGTTTTGTAAGCACTTACCCAGGTAAACATTAAGTAAACGGCACCTTAGTGTCTGGTTTGTAAAATTGTTTTTTAGTAGGTTTTTAATTTTTTTCCGGTTGACTTCTAGATTATATTTTTTCTGTTTTTTTAACTGATTTCAACAGATTTTTTAAATTTTTTGATTGATTTTCCTAGTATTTTCTAATATTAGGAAACAATCCTTAGAAGTTTAATAGATTTATAGGATTTCGCTCACCCGTATACATCTATACTATCTTATAAAGCATTTAACTAAAACTTTTTGAGTTCTTTGATTGTTTGGTAGTTTTGGAAGTCAAGGTTTGATTTGTTGAAACACTTATATGTGGTTTCTTGTGTTAAATTTACTATTTTTGTGTTTGATTGCCATTACGTTTCTTCGTCTTTTATGAACACCAAAGTGTTTGAATTCATATAACATTTTGTTGATAAACATAATCAAATACAGGATAAATATTTTATTTTAAAATCTAAAAGATCTAAAATATAATTGGGATAATTATCAAATTCTAGCAAAATAATTTATTATGATCTTTATAAGAAACTTATATTATTAAACCAAATATAAATTACTTCGTTATTGTACCTAAATTAAATTATAATAAAAAATTGAATTGAAAAATTACACAAAAAATGAGGAATTTTAAATAGTTAATTTGATACGAATATCGATATATTTTT